CGGCGTAGGAGACCCGCTGTGTGTCAGGGTGGGCGATGTGGCCGGGGAGATGGAGGGGGACAGCATCCTGTGGGAGAGAAGGAGAGGGTTAGCAAGATTTGGGATGTATAAAGTCACATACTGCTATACTGTACTGTATACTGCTATTCGCACGTATGCATGGGTGGATGCATGCATGCACTTGTGCTGGTAACAAACAAAGGTGAGTAATTTTCGCCACCGCATGTGTGTATGTATGTATGTATGAAAGAGTGAGACTAACGGAAGTGAATGCCTATAGCTCTATGATTTGTCTGCTCGAGTTCTTAAAAAAACGAAACTGCGTATCAGAATTTCTATTTTTTCTCTCTCCTTGATTTGTTCACGTGTGCGTTGCGTGGCGTTCATGCGCCGTTTCGCCGTGATTGCACCGAGAGCAGCCTGGATTAGCGCAACGCACCATACATTTTGTAAACTCTGATATTTATTTATAAACTCGACTGACTGCGCGGTGAACTTTGCCGTTTCCACGCCGTGAGCTTCTTGTTGACGTTGTGTGCTCATGGTGAGCTTCATGGCGATGCTGCGTCACTGCGTCAGGAGCGGCTGCCTTCATGCTGGACTTTCTAGCGTCGCCTCATGCTCAATGAGGGCAGCAGGTGTTAACGCAGGGAGGCCATGCGGCTCTAATATCGCTCCAAGCTTAGTGGAACTGCTTTTGGCCTTCCAGGTAATGCGCTGCGACTGCCTCTCAAGGATGCGGGACGCTGTGATTATCCAAGCGCTGCTCTCGAGGAGAATTATTCCAAGTCGGCACCTTGGCGGAGGCAAACATTAGCTCAGTCTCCAGGCACGCCAAGGTGATCCTCCGTTCTTGTGAGGCGCAATTCCTTGCCCAAGCACAGGCGGGAATGGCAAACGTCTGGTCTAACTAGTGTCTTTAACTAGTCTTCCCGATGCAGCTCGGAGAGACTGTCTCTGCCTCGGGCGAGTGGACTGCACCGAGTGTCCCCCGCGCTGGCTCTCGGGGCGCCGTCGCCTCCATTAAGTCCTTTGCTCCTTTACCCCGAAGTTGTGTTGGCGTGTCACTCGGTGGATTTTCCAAGACATTACTCAGATTGGTCTGAGCAATTATTCTTTTTTTTCTCGGACACCAGCTATGCTTTAATGCTTCTTTTCTCCGATACCTTTAAAAAGGTATGAACAGTTTCACGCACTTCTTTCTTTTCTTCTCCCCGAGGCCATTTCCCCCGTTTTTATGTTATGCTGATGAATGATGCATTCATCATCTCATTTCTATCGTCCAATTACCTCCTGCCTTGATCTCTGTTTGTTCATCCACTAACCTTCTTCCTTATTCTTGCTTCTTTCACCTGTGTTTATCCGCCCTCTTCTTTGCATCCACTCATTTACACTGGGAGTTGCCTCAACACATTTTCCTCGAGGAAATGAAAACACATACATAGGATACACATTTTTCTTCTTTTCTTACATATCACGCTAAATGACTATTCCCCCACACACGGACAAACACACACGCACGCAAATATTTACCTTTAATCTGTAAAAGATTTAATGTTGATATGATAAAAGAGTATAAAAAACTGCAACTAAGAGTGGCAACACTTTCCTAAATTTATTTGACCCGATTGAGACTTTCCAGCAAGCGATGGGAGGGTAAAAGGAGACAGGCAGTGAATGTAAACCACATAATTTGATATTTACAACAGCCTCAAAGTAAATTATAGACTTGCTCTCTCCACATTCGAGGTGTGAGAGAAGTCAACCCTGATCGCTCAAGGAAGTCAATCGATAAGCTAACAGCACTACTTAATCATACTTTCTATTTTTTTCTGTTTTCTCTTTCTCTCTTTCATTCTGCAACTCCATTCCTTCTTGCTTTCTTTTCTTCTTTCCATCTTCCGCCTCTGCGCCTTCTCCCTTTTTCTCATGTGCCCCGCTGCCTTCTCCCCTATGCTTTTCCCCCCAAATGAGGAGCCCTGCCCGGGGCCCTTGCGGTGAAATGGGAGCCGCGCTGCTTTCTCACGCGGGAACCTGTACTTCGGGTCCCGGCGGGGTGCGTGCGTGCATGCGTGCGTGGGTTTGAGTGTGTGTATGTACGTGTGTGTGTGTGTGTGTGTGTGTGTGTGCGTGTGTGTATGTGTGTATGTGTGTATGTGTGTGTGTGTGTGTGTGTGTGTGTGTGTGTGTGTGTGTGTGTGTGTGTGTGTTTGTTGTATCACTTTTGTGTGCAGTGATACAACAGCCAGGAGAAGAGAAAGAGGGGAGACAAGAAAGGGAGTGAGAAAGGTGCTGGGGGAGTGAGTGACTCTTTGTGTGAGAAAACATGAAATATGAAGAGGGAGTAGGAAGTTATGTGTGTGTGTGTATGTGTGTGTGTGTGTGTGTGTGTGTGTTTGTGTGTATACACACACACACACACACACACACATAACTTCCTACTCCCTCTTCATATTTCATGTTTTCTCACACAAAGAGTCACTCACTCACTATATATATATATATATATATATATATATATATATATATATGTGTGTGTGTGTGTGTGTGTGTGTGTGTGTGTGTGTGTGTGTGTGTGTGTGTGTGGAACGTGTGTGTGTGCGTGCGTGTATTAGATAGATAGAGAGAGAGAGAGAGAGAAAGAGAGAGAGAGAGAGGGGGGGGGGACACAGGAAGCACACCAACCAGTTCTGAGAGACAATCGCCATCCTATTTCCACAGCAAAGCAAACACGCACATTCCTCGCGGTCCACGCCCATGTCGTAACTCTTAGAATCCCTCCTAAGAAGCATATTATCATACATCTCAGCCACCGCGACAAGGGACACCTCTCCTCACTCTCCCTCTCCCCTCCCACTCCCGCTCCCTTTCCCTCTCCTGGACCCCCACCCCGTCCTCCTTCTCTCCCCCTCCCCAACTCCTCCCTCCCCAGCTTCTCCCCCTCCTCACGTACCCGGCCCCTCATCCCGCACCCTCGTACCGCACCTGAGACGCCCCAGAGACGAGGCTTTGCCCGCCGCGTCCCAGGAGGTTTCGCTGCCAATGAAAGTGTTCCGCAGGTGGGACTCGAGTGCCGGCCGCCGCGGTGTCTGGCGCATTGCTCGCTTTGGGTTGTTTCGGCTTGCTCCCTTTTCTCCTCGATCTGTCTATTTATCTCTCTCTATTTATCTATCTATCTCTCTTCCTCTCTCTCTATCTCTCTCACGCTAATGATCCTCACCTTTAATTCTGTTTTGCTCCAGCTCCTTTTTATCATAATATTCCATTTAAGTGTCACTGATAACGGATCCAACGTTTTATCTCAACCTACGCTTCATCTTTCTGTTCAGTGTTCAAAATAAGACCACCTGCTCTTCCATCTCTCTTGCAAAATCCTTATTTGCTCACCCGGGCATTGCCAAAGGCCCGAAATTCATCACCCTCGCTACTCGAAGGAAAAAAAGAGAGACAATTATGATAAAAAGTCCCCCTCGGAGCTTTTATTTTTCCTCTTTTTTGTCCTTTTTTATGCCACCGCTGAACGAAATCCCAAGACCCGCTGCTTCTGTTTTCTTGTGAGCGAAAACCCGACCTTCAAGGATAATTTAGAGCGGGCACGTGCCGGGATCTCATCGCCAGGAACCAGCACACTCTTTAAGGAATCCGGTACCACCTTAGGCAAGCTCCGCCAGATCTGGGGCAGGCAGGGAGGCAGGGAGGAGGCGAGGAGGAGGCAAGGAGGCGAGTGGACGACGAAGCTGGGAGGCGGCGGGGGGGGGGGGGGGGACTTAACATCAGCGAGTGGGAATGATGAATAAAAATGGAAAACAAGGGTGTTTTGTCATTGATGATGTTTTTTCTTCAGAAGTTGTTTCCCGGAAGGACAGCCTCGTTTCGGAGTCGGGGCGAAGTTCTAGTCCCTCTCCAGCCAAAGGAAGGCGGAAAGGCGGCCTCCCAGGGTCCAGCTGCCCGCTCAGTGCTCTCCTTATCGAGGGGATTTGGTGAGCAAGTTTCCGGTCTGAGAGAGATAAGGAACACATCCTCTAAAGTATTCCATTATTCGATTTCAATTTCCATGACGTCTGTTTCTTCTTCTCCTTCTTCTCCTCCTTCTACTTATTATGATTATTCTCTTATTATTATTATCATTATCATTAATATTATCATTATTATTATTATTAGTTTCATTATTACTTTTATCATTATTATCATTATTATTATTATTATTATTATTATTATTATTGTTATTATTATTATTATTATTATTATTATTTATTATTATTATCATCATTATCATTATCATTATTTGGGAGGAGGGGTCAAATACACTACCGGTAATTGAATAAAGGCACCCAGGATGTAAGATAATGGCAAGGACGTAATTTTCTTGAAATTGCACTTGTGTACTGAAAACCCTTACGTTTACGTCGAGTGGAACAGATAGAACAATTAACCTGACAAATATGTTTCCCTGGAGATCCTCTGTACATCTATTTATCCAGCTTCCCCATAGCCATCTATCAACGAGCTCTTCCTCTCAAAATATTATATTTAGAAATAGCTACCGTGGGTGTTTGTAATAGTTTTGATAGCTCGAATATGTATCATAGACAGATGACAAGTATCAGACTTGCACAGAGCATAAATTAAAAACAAGTTTCGTTGCTGACAATATTATATCCAAGGAATTCACATCAAGGCATTGCTAGATTGCTGTGCGAACATATTTCCTTGTGCAGCGTTCGCATATTCAGAATAGAATGGGAAATCTCTCTCTCTCTCTCTCTCTCTCTCTCTCTCTCTCTCTCTCTCTCTCTCTCTCTCTCTCTCTCTCTCTTTCACTCTCTCTCTCTCTCTCTCCGTCTCTCTCTCGCTTTCTCTTCCTCTCTCTCTCTCTCTCTCTTCCTCTCTCTCTCTCTCTCTCTTTCTCTCTCTCTCTCTCTCTCTCTCTCTCTCTCTCTCTCTCTCTCTCTCTCTCTCTCTCTCTCTCTCTCTCTCTCTCTCTCTCTCTCTCTCTCTCTCTCTCTCTCTCTCTCTTTCCCTTCTGCCTCGTAGTAGTCAGTCAGCCTTTCGAAATCACTGCGAGAA